ATTTCTCAGAGGACAAAGCCAATACATTAAGTCTTTGTGGCACCTCTTTAAAGAAAACCAATTGAACCAATTACAACATTCAAATGCTCTCCAAAGTATTGATGTAGAGATATAGTTTTAATACTGTTCTGTACTTATTTCTAATCAGGGCAACTGAAAATGTTTCTTTTCATCTACTCCCTATGTTATATTTTATTTGAAGTGAGAGCAGGTCTCTGTCAATTTCACCTTGTATTTATTTTGCCTCTAGACTGTTGTATTGATTTCTATTACTCCCAAGGCCTCATCCACACTTGCTTTGCCCTCTGAAGTGTGATTCACATTTTATTGCTTTCCAGAGGGCAGGTGGCGAGGGGGCGTGGAGAATACTGCCCACTGTCACATGACAGTGAGCATCATTTTGTAGCACTGATCTGCAAAGCATGGCATATGTATAACCCCCTCCGCTGCTTTTGCAGTTTAAGGGGGGGAGTGGTTGGGCATTCAAAACATGACTCAACTGCATGTTTTTACCACCCTTCCCTGAACCACAAGTGTAAACGTGCCATCGAATTGGCCTCAGATCTTATTCTGAACCTGCAACCCCCTCCCCCCCAGTTCTCAATGGAGCTTAAAAGTATTTACACTTTAATATTCAAAGCCTGAGGATAGTTGCCCTTTCAATTTGCAAAGATATACACCATGTTATATAATAAACACATTCAGGGGAATTCAAAAAGAGTGTCTACAGGTAAGTAAATCTGGGGCAAGCACCACCTGCGGCGGTGCTATGAAGCTGGAGTACAGTGTTCCCTCCTTGCCACTGTACCTGTCACAGAGACAGTGCATTAGACACAGAGTTTTGAAGCTGAGTGAGTGGAGTCTGATAGGAGAATTAGTATCTTTGAATCCCCATCAGGTCCCCTCCCCTTGTAATTGACAGCAGGCAATGGGAGGATCCCTAGCCAATAGACAGCCTGAAAATGGCTATAGAATCCACCCACTGTCTGCTCTCAATCATAAGGAGAGGGCAGACTTGATTGTCTGAGCTTCCCCATCAGGTGCCGACCACGGTCATCATCACTGGATGCTATGAGCCTGTCAGCTATGACGCCAACAGCATCTTTAGCAGCTTCCTGCCTGGCCTATAATAATATGAGGGCCAAGTGGCAGCGTTACCATCCTGCTTGGAAGTCATATGACATCCTCCCAGGATCGGACCAAGCGGCAGCATAATCTATCAATCACCAGCTGTGTCAACTGGGCACAGCGGATGATAGATCAGTGTACTGGATCGCTGCCAATACCATGTGATTGATGTGATCAATCACAGCAGATCACATGGCAATAGTAGACAATGAATGGCTTCCATTCATAGCCTTTCATTGTGTACTATTGTGTTGATCTCTGTTATTGGTCACAGTAATCACATGGTACAGACAGGGCCAATCACAGTGTATCTGTACCATGTGATAGCTGTGCCCAATCACAGCTTCACAATAGTGCACACTGGATGAATAGATGTCATTCATAAAAAATGGTTGATTATCACTGTTATAAGCAATCAAAGTGTGTGATCACCTCCCCAGAGTACAATGTGCTATGGTAACACTGTTTCTCTGGTCACAATATTTTTTGAAAAAATCTTAAAAAAAAAAAAATTGTAATAAAAAAAACTTTTTTCAAAAAATTGAAAAAAAAAAAAAAATATTTTTTTGTTTTTACCTAATGTCTCAAGTTTCCCTGATCACCAGTACACCTGTTTTCTGAGGATGCTGAAAAAAAAAACATTTTCAATTTTTTCCAAAAATTATGACAAAAAAATTGCTACTTCAAAAAATGTAAGCCTTTTATTAACCACTTGCCTGTCAGGCATATTTACCCCCTTCCTGCCCAGGCCATTTTTTCAGCTTTCAGCACTGTCGCATTTTGAATGACAATTGCATGGTCATGATAATGTGTCCAAACAAAGATCAATTTCTTGATAGGAAGACACTGAAGAAGATGCAAATCAATCACAGGTGCTCTTCAAATACCTCAAAAAACAAAATCTCAACATAGTATATTACCTTTTAAATCCCAGAACTAAAGTGCCACACGTGTATCATGCAAAAAAAAAAAACACTCCAGTGTCACAGCACTCATGTGAAAAAAAAATAAATTAATAAATATCACTGCAAACTATATATAAAGTGCATAATTACCCTAAAACAAACAGATTCCAGCTTGTAATCAACCACATATGTACAGAGTGTCCTTAGATTGGTATCCTCTTGTTCCTCAGGACCTCACAAACAGACCAGGAATCAATATGTGAATTATAATCATATATAAAATTTATTGTAGCCACTTACATTTAAAAACAATAAGATCAGCAAGACAGCATCAAACTCCTCATGCCCAGTATACGATCCCCTTTCCGTGTGTAGAGGGTCTCCCGATCACCAGGTAATTCCCCCTTGCTACTCCTATCCAGCACTATCACTTTGTAGCTCTGGGGGACACCTGAAGTGCTCCGTTACTCTCCAGACCTCCAACACACAGGGATTCCAGAATCCAAAATGGCTGCCGCAGCACTTCCGGGAACGTCACGTGCCCTGGACGCGTTTCGTCTCTTCCGGACTTTGTCAACAAGGATGTTGACAAAGTCCGGAAGAGACGAAACGCGTCCAGGGCACGTGATGATTTATTAAATTTTTTTTTTTTTTTCACATGAGTGCTGTGACACTGGAGTGTTTTTTTTTTTTGCATGATACACGTGTGGCACTTTAGTTCTGGGATTTAAAAGGTAATATACTATGTTGAGATTTTGTTTTTTGAGGTATTTGAAGAGCACCTGTGATTGATTTGCATCTTCTTCAGTGGAGTAGGAAGTGTCTTCCTATCAAGAAATTGATCTTTGTTTGGACACATTATTTGGACACTTTGCATATTGGGACTTTATTTTATTTTTGTTCTTTTATATATATTTGATATTTTTGGGTAATCTCTTTGGGTCTTGATTTTTTCACTATAATTGTGGGTTTTTGGGTTTAAGTCAATGAATATATATTTTATTAGTACTTCAGGGGAAGGATATTGATATGACTTTAAGGGATTTCTGAGGATTTTATATATATGTGTGCTGATTTATACTTATTCAATTGCACGGTCATGCAACATTGTACAAAACAAAATTTTTATCATTTTTTTGAGACAGAGCTTTCTTTTGGTGGTGTTTAATCACCACTGGGTTTTTTTATTTTTTGCTAAACCATCTAAAAAACTAAAATTTTGGAAAAAAGGTTTTTTTCTAAGTTTCTGTTATAAAATTTTGTAATTAAGTAATTGTTCTCCTTCACTGATGTGTGCTAATGAGGCTGCAGTGATGGGCACTGATGGGCACTGATAGGTGGCACTGATGAGGAGGCACTCATATATGACACTGATAGGTGGAACTGATGGGCACTGAGAGGCGGCACTTACTGCCACTGATAGGCGGCACTGATTGGAACTGTTAGGCAGCACTGATGGGCACTGATAAGTGGCACTGATAGATGGCAGTGACTGGCACTGATAGGCAGGACTGACTGGCAGCACTGACTGGCACTGATAATTGGCACTGAAAGGCAGCTCTGATGGGCACTGATATGTGGCATTGATGTGCACTGATATGTGGAATTGATGTGCACTGGTATGTTATATTGATGGGCACTGACAGGTGGCAATTATGGGCACTGACAGGTGGCACTGATGGGGCTACACTGGTCATCAGGGCACTTATGATTAGTGCCCTGATAATCAGTGTAGATGTCCCCTCTGAGGAATGCCGCTTACCTGCTCCCCTCTCCTCACGCACTGTCAGCGTGAGGAGAGGACTGTCGATAACCAGCATTTCCTATTTACATGCGATCAGCTGTGATTGGACACAGCTAATCACATGCTAGAGCCAACATCATCGGCTCTTTACTATGATCGGTGATCCGCTGTGTCCCAGGGACACAGCGCACCACCGATCACCGAGCAGCGTGCCCCCCAGGGACGCGCATGTGCAGCTAGAGTGGGAGGACATCATATGATGTCCTCCTGCAACGAGAGAACCGCTGCCCTCCCATCATTTCCTTATGTGCTGGAGGCAGTTAAATACCTTTAACTATCTACTTTCCAAAAAGGGGTAATTTGAGGAGTATATGTACTGTCCTGGCATTTTCGGGCCTCAAGAAATGAGATAGGCCATCAGTACAGCAGGACTGATCAATTTTTAAATATACATTCCATAGTATGTAGACTCTATAACTTTCCTACAGACTAAATAATATACATTGGTTTGGGTTGTTTTTTACTTGAATATAGCAGTATACATTTTGGCCTAAATTTATGAAGAAAGATTATTTATCTACAAATATTTATAACAGAAAAGAAGAAAAATACATTTTTATTTTAAATTTTTTTGTGTCATAAGTCAACAGCTATGACTTCATACATGGCAATAAGGTAAATTTCTCAAATTGGATGCAGATGATTAAAATTAACAAAAATTCCTGAACCTTAAAGTAACAATTAACGATATCCTTATTTTCCCAAAAAAATAATCCATACACATTCAGTAGTTAATGTGTTTTTCAGGAATTTATTTCTTGCTGTGTTTTTCTGCCTTTACTGTGAGTTCCCAAACCTCTTCTTTTGTCTATCACCAAGCAGTGCAAATTAGTTGTGGTCATGTGCACAGGTCTATACACACTACAAATCTTATAGTTCATAGTACATCTCCAAAGTGAGCAAAAGACAGTGGCTACCTTCCTACATACAGTGGGACTATGGAGAACAAATGTAGTAACAGGAAGATGGACCACCACAACAAAAAAAGGAGGAGCATTTTTAGTTCAGAACACTTGACTAGAATTTAGTGTCATTTTAACCTTTCCCCACTGTATCCAAAATGAAAGAAAATGTTTGCCTTTAGATACAATTTAGTAATTAGCATTTAACAGCTCTTTTTATGCATTAACATGTTAACATTATGTCATTTGTTATTTTTCTAGATTTCTTACAATGGAGATTTATCATTATTCACAATATTTTGTGTGCATCCTTGCCTTTTTTGGACTGGTTGCACAGGTAAGGTATTTTTTTCAAGTACCTAAGATTATCATATCATAAAATATATTACAAGTAATGTGGTTGTCCCCAGAGGACTGATATGTTCTCTGTAGAAAAGGAGAGTGGTTGCTTCTGGCGTGAAGGTAGTGGTGTTACAACTGGAAACTGTGAAGGAGGAGGTGGCACTGGCAGCATGGATTATAGGGGTTGTCTGTGTGCATGGGGAGGACAGAGAAACCCCTTGATGGACGCCCCCAAATAGAGACCCCCATTCTCAGGGTCATCTGTGTGTAAGAGAGAGTAAGAGACCCCCTAATAGACAACTCCCGATGAAGACCCCCAGATGGAGATTCCCATTCTCATGGGTGTCTGTGTGTATGGGGGGGGGTATTATTGCTGGGGACATTGGGGGTTATTTTTGCTGATGGGGTTGTTATTACTGGGGACAGTGAGGATTATTCTACTTGGGGTTGTTATTGCAGCTGGGGGTTATTATTTTAGGGGGCAGCAGAGGTTATTATAGCTGGGGATGATGGGGGTTGTTATTACTGCAGGGGTATATTATTGCTGCTGAAGGTTATTATTACAGTGGGGGTTGATTTTGAGGATAGTGAAGTTTATAATTACTGTGGACAGTGGGGGTTATTAACTTTGCTGGGGGTTAATATTGCTGCGGGAGGTTATTATTGCAGTGAACAGTGGAGGCTGTTATTTTTGCTGGGGACAGTGGAAGGTATTATTGCTGCTAGGGGTTATTGTTGTGCTGAGGGTTAATATTGTGCAGCAGGTTACTGCTTGTCCTGAATCTTCCTGTGGTTATTATTGTGTGGTGGATTATTGCTTGCCGAGACACTTACTAAGAGGGTTGGGCTGTTAATTGTGCTGGTAATTGCTGGGGATTTTCATTACTGACCCTGGCACTTGTTGGGAGTTATCATTTCTGGCCCTGTCACTTTCTTGGGGTGATCACTGCTAGCTTGGGGAGAATGGTTTAGCATAACATCATGTATATTAGACAATAGGGTTGATTTACTAAAATTGGAGAGTGCAAAATAGTCGTCCTCTGTGGCCCTCCCGCTGCAGTGGGCGAGCACGTTTACTTATCTTAGGATAGTGATCTCCCATAATGTTTCTGATTTTAAATTGCATAATTTACAACCAGTCCTGGATGAGGTCAAGGGTAAACCTAAATGAGTTAATTCTGCTTCCCTGTTAGAGGCTGCCATTCTTAACTCAGTAGAAGCCCTTCAGTGTCTGTAATTTAGAGGTTCAAAAGACCCCTATACATTACCCCATCCATGCACAATACACTAAAAGCCTGGACAATGGGCCTACGGTATGAGTTTATCCCACTTAGTACACTGTCCCCTCTTACTCTTCTCTGGCTCAACCCTTCTCTCTACCACTTCTACTGCGTGGGCCAAATACAAAATAAAAAATTAGAATATATTGTTGAGAATCATAGACTGCTACCATTTTCCTCTCTAAGAGTTAAATTCAACCTTCCCTTCCACTATGAGTTAAGGTACTTTCAAGTTGGCCCATGCCTTCAGTGCCCAATTCCCAGGTCTTCAGCTAGTACTCTTCTACTCAGAGTTGGAGTCTACCTTATGAGTGCCTGACTTGGAGAAGCCCACATCTGAGCTATACCGCTACCCGGTAAATGCAGATTTACCTGAATTGACCTCACTTAACCAGAAGTGGAGTACTGATGTACCTGAGTTGGATGATGAGGTCTGGTCATATGGAGCTGGACTGGAGATATGGGACTTCCCCTTCAACCATCTGGTGTTCGCCAGAGATAAACTGATTCAGTTTAAAATTATTCATAGACAATATTTTACCCTATACAGGCTCCATAAGATGGATTATTCCACATATCCAGCTTACTGGAGATGTTCAGAATTGTGGGGGACTACATACATGTATTTTGGTCATGTCCTGCAATTGTTATGTATTGGTGGCAGGTCCTAAATGTTATCACTTCTGTGGTTCATGTTCCTATTGCCTTATCACCAAGTTTGTGTCTCCTAGGCCTGGTCAAAGAACTGGCCCCTAAGCTATCAAGAATTCTTTTAAGTCTCCTTTTTAACACCCGAAAAATAATAGCCCTCCATTGGAAAAAAAAAACCCTCTCCTCCCTAAGTCTCTTTTTGGATGAAATTGATTAACTCAGTTCTACCCTGGTACCAAGACACCTACCATAACATGGGCTGCCCGACAAAACTCCTGTTGGTTGGAAAATTCTTCCACTGCTACCCCATCTGATACTTAAGTATCCGCTACCAAAACGTTTGGTGACATGGTCTCTGACTGCTTATTGTTCCTGTATGTGACTTTATTTTGTGCTTGAGCCTTGCAAATTCATTTAGTTTGTTTTGCTGTCTTATGTTGTTTTCCATGTACCATTATATGTCTGTAAATCCAAATAAAAAAAAAATGGAGACTGCAAAATGTGTTGCAGCTGTGAATGGTAGCCAATCAGCCTTAAACTTCAGCTTAAGCTTTGACAATAAAACTTTGAAGCTGATCGGTTTCTATGCAGAGCTGCCACAGATTTTGCACTCTCCAGTTTTAGTAAATCAACCCCAATGCCTCCTTCATATTGCATTAACCCAGCACCTGGCTACATATAGTTGTGTTTGGGCCTGGAGTGCGGCTTCATTTATGACAGCATGACTCCTGGAACACTTCTTATGGTTCTTATGAAATGACCTTACTGTTTTTCCAAGCTGTTGGTTCTGGAGAGCTTATTACAAGAATGTAAGCATTTCCTGGGAGGTCTGTTTTCACTCACGACCACAACACTAAAACTTTTCAAATGTCACCGGTAAACATTTACCGGATGTGGATTTATGTTCCCATTAATATGGATAGATCCGTGGTCAGGCCAGAAGAAACTTTATTACCTAGCCAAGCAACATAGTTCTACTACAGTTTTGAATTTGCCAAAGTACATCTTGGAACTCATAATTCCACAGCAGAGTCCTGCAGCATTAAAGCAACCAAAATAACAAGATTAAAATTAATAGCCCATTAAAAGATACCACAACAAAACTATATTTTGCCAAATTATTCTTAATGGAGCTTTATTATTATTATACAGTATTTATATAGCGCCAACAGTTTGCTCAGCGCTGTACATTATAATGGGAGACAGTACACAAGACAGCACAGTAACAATACAATAATACACGAGGGGTTCGAGGGCCCTGCTCCTTGGAGCTTACAATCTAGGAGGGGGGGATAGTGGTACAGGAGGAAATAGGTGTGGGGGATGGAGTGGTAGGAAGAGTGGAGGAGATTGGCAATTAGGTGAGGACGGGGTAGGCTTCCCTGAAGAGATGGGATTTCAGGGTGCTCCTAAAGGTGAGGAGGGTAGGTGACAGTCTGATGGATTGGGGTAGTGAGTTCCAGAGGATGGGGGAAGCCCTGGAGAAGTCCTGGAGATGGGCATGGGAGGAGGCGACTAGGGAACTAGAGAGTAGGAGGTCTTGTGAGGAGCGGAGAGTACGTTTTGGGTGGTAAATGGATATCAGGTTGGTGATGTAGTTTGGGGCACTGTTATGAACAGCTTTGTACGTCAATGTTAGTAATTTGAATTTTATGCTTTGGGCAATGGGAAGCCAGTGGAGGGATTGGCAGAGGGGGGTGGCGGATACGGAGCGGTTAGTAAGGTGGATGAGTCTGGACGCAGAATTCAGGATAGTCTGAAGCGGAGATAGTCTCAAATGAGGTAGGCCGGTGAGGAGGGAGTTACAGTAGTCAAGTCGTGATATAATAATAGTCGTGATTATTGCAGAGATTGTTCCTGAAGTAGTTTTTCTGCATCATTCAACCCCCTTCCTCCTAGCCCTGGTCATTCTGGACCCTCAGAGAAAGACCCAACTGATGACTGTGTCCTGACAAGCTCAACCCCAAAGTTATGTTGGACTTCCTCTTTAAATTCATAAGGCTAGGCTTCTTTGCAGCTTTGGGACCCTTTCTTATGTGCTAATCCCATTTCTAATAAAATACTTGTTGCAAAGTGCAGATACATTTTTTTTCACAATAGCCATCTACTTGGTGACCTTGATTAGTGCAGTACATACAATATTGATATTGGAATTATATGCTACTGGGGAATGCATGCCTATTATTATTGTTGTTTGCATTATCATTCAGTTTATTTTATTTAGTTGCTTAATACCCCGTTTTTTCTGTTATGGAAGGCTTTGGATGCCTGTTTACAAGAACAGCTGAGACTAAAGGCCCAAGTGAGACTTCTTGAGCAGCAAACAAAGTTGCAGCAAATAAAGATTGAGAATCTGTTACGAGAAAGGGAACTGCAGTTTATGGACCGGGGAGATGAGATGCTAGTTAACAACTTAGGAGAAATCCGAAGTTATGCAGGTAAATTCATTCTACTTTCTTCTTTTAACCGTTTGCATAGCATTTTCCACTAAGATCATTGCACATATTTAGTAAGGAAAACAGCAGTCTATACTGTACAGTAAACCAGAGCAACCAATGAGAATTGTTTTTCTGATCTGACAATGACAAACTAGTTATGAATAATTACTAAGGGCAACTGTAGTTTGTGCATCATGGTTACTTTGTATAACTCTTGACTAATTTGTCCTTAAAAACCTGTATTTTTTTTCCAATTTATGTCAAAGTAATAGGTTTTCTTTATAGCCCACCTCTGAAAATAATATTTACCTTCCCTGTGCTTCAATGCTATTTTGTTTGCTGACTGGAGACATTGGAAATACTTGGTACTTCTGAGCATGGGGAGCATGATTAAATACAGTAACAGGCTCATACAATGTCAAATGAGGGCTGGGGGAAGATTCAGTGTAAGCTTCAAAATAAATAGCGGTCCTTAACACAGATCTCCTCAATTCACAAAAATGTGCCTGTGCAATGCATGGTGTAATGTATGGCCATACATTATACAGTTTTCTTGTTCAATTCCCTTTATATTGACTGGTATCAACCTTCCTTGATGACTTCCCTGCCAGGCTACCCTACGTTCTCTCTTCTGAAATCCACACAATCATTCTTCGAGAATGCTAACACTTCTGCTACTTCTAAATTTCTAAGTCTAACCTCCTCTTTTGACCTGAAGCAATGGATACATGTTTCTACTCACTCTGACAGCAACACCCTTGACCTTGTTTTGTTCTACCTATGCACTCCGTGCAACCTCAGCAGCAATCCTTTCCCTCTCTCTAATCACTACCTTATTAGCTTTGCTCTCTCCCTGTATTCTACCTCTTCTCCCTTCAACCGCCTAGCAGTTACTCACTGAAACCTCCGCCACCTTAACCTTCACTTCTCTACTCTGCTACTGACCAAATCTATGACAAAATCTCACCTCTGTTCTGCCCCAACCTTGCCACTTTTGTCTATAATAGTTCTTACTACAAACAGAATCAGGTCCCAAACCCTACAACCTTAGCAAGCAGATAACACCAGAAGTCTGAAAAAATGTAGCCGTGCTGTTGAGCGCCTGTGACGCAAGACTAGGTCTCAGAAAGATTTCAACTAATATAGATCTGCCTTCAAAAATACTACTACTGCCTCTGCACTGCCAAGCAGACCTATTTTATCACTCTCATTAACACCTTCTCATACAGTCCCTGTCAATTCTTCTCTACCTTCAACCCTTTACTTCGTCCTCCACTGCCTGCACCCACTACCTCAATCACTACCCAGGTGATCGCCAATCGCTTCAAAAATAAGATTGATATAATTTATGATGAGATCTCCACTGTACAGACATCTCCCCCACTTATCACTCCATGTCTACAGGTACACTCACTAGTTTCCTCATTCAACCCTGCTACTATAGATGAGGTTGCTAAACTTTTTTCTAATGGCCACTTAGCCACTTGCCCCCTGGGCCTTGTTCCCTCACAAATGCTACCATCACCTGCTGGCTCTATCCTACAATCTCTAACTCACATCTTCAATCTCTCCCTCTCTTCTGGCATCTTCCCTAACTCTCTAAAATATGCACTAGTCACCTCCATACTTAAAATGCCCTCACTGGACCCCACCAACCTTAACAACCTATGACCTATCTCCTTGCTCCCCTTTTCCTCCAAACTCCTTGAGCACTTAGTCTACAACCAAATGAGCGACTATCTTACTGAAAATAACCTTCTTGATCCTCTTCAGTCTGCATTTTTCTCTCAACACTCCACAGAAACTGCTCTCCTAAAACTCACAAATGATCTACTAACAGCTAAAACCAATAGACACTATTCTGTACTCCTACTCCTGGACCTCTCTGCTGCCTTTGATACAGTGGACCACCCCCTCCTCCTCACAAAACTCCACTTCATTAATCTCTGGGACTGTACTCTTCACTGGTTTTCTTCCTACCTATCTCATCGTACCTTCAGCATCAATTACAATCTCACTTTCTCCTCTCCTCTTCCTTTCTCCATTGAGGTCCCCCAAGGTTCTGTTCTTGGACCTCTCCTATTCTTCATCTACACCTCCCTGGGTCAGTTGATAGCCTCCCATGGCTTCCAATACAGTTTCTACGCTGACATCACCAAAATTTATCTTTCTGCCCCACAGCCCACTCCATCAGTCTCCACACGCATCACTAATCTACTAACGGACATATCAGCCTGGATGTCACACCACTTCCTCAAACTCCATCTATTCAAAACTGACCTCTTAATATTTCCTCCCCCACGCGCCCCTTCCCTTGACTTGTCTGTCAGGATTGAAGGCACAACTATCAACTCGTCCCTGCATGCGAAGGTTCTAGGTGTTATCCTGGACACTGATTTATCCTATGGGCCTCACATCCAATCACTGTCCAAAGCTTGCTGCCTCAACCGCCGCAACATCTCAAAATATGCCTCTTCTTAACCAATGACACCCCAAAGCTCCTCGTCCACTCTCTGGTCATCTCTAACCTTGACTACTGCAACTCCCTTCTCATTGGATTACCTTTACATACAGTAGGCTAGCCCCTCTTCAGTCCATCATGAATGCTGCTGCCAGACTCATCCACTTTAGCAGCCATTCAGCGACTTTTACTCCTCTTTGCCAGTCCCTCCACTGGCTTCCACTCTCCCAATGAGTTCAATTCAAAACAGTAACAACTTACAAAGCCATCCACAGCTCGGTGCTCAGCTACATCACTACCCTAGTCTCAAAATACCAACCAAATTGTTCTCTTCATTCCTCCTAAGACATCCTGCTCTTTAGCTCCCTTGTCATCTCCTCCCATGCTTGCCTCCAAGACTTCTCGTGAGTCTCTCCCATCCTAAAGAATTCCCTACCCCAATCTGTCCAATTGTCTCTTACTCTGTCTACATTTAGACGGTTCCTGAACACCTATCTCTTCAGACAAGCCTTTCCTGCCCTCACCTAATAGCTGTACTTTATTTTATCCATCAGCTCATCCCCCACAGTTATTACCTTTTGTATCAATTGACCCTCCCTTTTAGATTGGAAGCTCTAACAAGCAGGGCCCTCTGTTTCCTACAGTATTAAAATGTATTGTAATTGTACTGTCTGCCCCTCACGTTGTAAAGTGTGCGCAAACTGTTGGCACTATATAAATCGTGAATAATAATAATAATTTACCTTCAATCAGGGCCTGTCTAATTGGTTAAAATTGATGGTGTTTAGGTTGGACCTCATATTATATCGGTCTGGTAAATCTAAACAAAAATAATACAAGAAAATTGTATAATGTATGGCCAGCCTAAATGGGTTCTTAGTGTTTATTGCAGTTTGCATTGGGTTATATTATTTTTCTAGTCTAGATGTAAATAATGCTAGGTGGGGTTCTTCTTTAGCCTGGGTCATATGCCCAAAGCAGTTCCCTGCAAAGGAAGAGAAAGTATATTTATTACCCTGGCGAACTATTCGTTCAAGTGTTGCAGCCTCCGCCAGACATTTCAGCATTTGACACTTCTGCGACACTTCTGCTATATGCTGTGGTTCCATCAACTAACCTCCACATCTCTACAGGTGACCTAGGACTGAAGGATGGAACCACAGCATATGTAAGGGTCACTCCCAGGTAAAAGATAGGAGACATGAGCCTCTGAACAGATAAATATACTATTTCTTCTTTAACAGGGAACTGAACAATTTTTGGGGCAAAGTCATTTTAACCAGCAGTACAATATTAGTATTGTTCTAGCCATTTCTTTGATCATCCATCAACATGAAAAAACTATTAATCCAATAGTAGCTCTTTAGGAAGAATAATTTAGCATTCTATTAATTACTGTCATTTTTTTGTAGATGCTAAAGAGTTAACACTAAACTCCAAGATAGAGAGAAACGTTTGGACATTACTGCACCTGTTCATTAATCATTTTAGTGACAGTTCACATATATGCGGATTGGATGCAGTTTTGAACTGCATCCAATCTGCATGACATGTGAGATAACATTGTTTCCTATGGTGCCTGTTCACATACGTCCAGTGCACTGGCAGTGCGGATTCAGTGCAGATTGAAAAAGAGTGCTGTCCCATTTCTGAGCAGTGTGGTCTGGTTCAGGTATGGATTACAGGCTATTGACTTCTATGGGGCCCGCTTCTATACCGGATATGTCATCAGTTGTGAACAGGATTGCAGTTCAGGATCAGGATTTCAGTTCAAGATCAGGTTTTAGCACAGGTTGCTCTCCTCTCCACCTCAGCACAACCAAAAAAGCCTTGCAAAACCACATCCAAACCGGCCTTAAAGCTGTGAACAGTACGAACCACAAACACTGGTCCTAAACTGGCTCTGAGCCGCTGAACAAGTAGATTGCTAATCCACACTGAAACCTGACTTTGAAATCCAGGAAGCACATGTGTGAATCGGCCATCAGGGTCTCAGAAACAGCCTTGTTTTCTCACCTATATCCACTGTTACGTGATCAGCAGCAGCACATTCCATAATGGAAACTGGTCATTGCAACCTACTCTCTCGGCAAGTGACCAGGCGCTCTTTAATGTCTTAGTGTTCACTACAGTACTCTTGGATAGAGTAGCTTCTCAGCAAATAGGCAAAATCCACATCAGCAGGAAGTAGCATAAGCACTAGTAGAACTCTCCTTTCACATTATATTAGTGGTGCCCAATTATATTACTGAGAAAAAGCAGCTATTTTTATTCTCTCTATATAAAAGAATCAGAATATGTAAAAAAAATGCAAACAAATTTGGCAATTATACATCAAGGAGTCACAATCTTTATTAGTCACTAATTTATTCTTTTTTTTTTTTTTTCTTTTTGTGCAGACTGTGGTGACATTTACAACGATGGACATAAACAGAGTGGTTTTTACAAAATTAAACCATTGCAAAGCCGTACATCATTTTATGTGTACTGCGATATGTCTGATGGAGGGGGATGGACTGTTTTTCAGAGACGCTTGGATGGAAGCCAAAATTTCTTTCGGTAAACCTTTTTCTGAAATTGTGGCATTTTATAGGTACATTTTTGGGTGATGCTGGAACACACAAGTTGGGTGGTAACACTCAGGACTCCCAGGTGGACAAGAACAGAGTTGGTATTGTTGGCAAGAAGATCTCAATAATGAAGCACCTGGGACATATAAGAAGCCAGAGGCTGACAAGCCAACCTAGCTCTATCTACAAACAGATCTCACTTTTGGCTATGCCAAAATATTCTACCCTTACCTAGGCTGGTTAAATTTAGTTTTTGGCTCTGCTGTAGCTAGCTAAGCAGCAATTTATTTTCTTTGTCTGGTAAGGTCTCCGTAAACCTGGTGGTTGATTACTCCTACCTGCCTTTGAAGAAGCTTCCAGAAATATCTTAGAAGAGTCAGCCACTGGGTTATGAGTATTTATCAAATCCCAGCTAATCGCTGGGAGTGGGGCCCAGATGTGGCTGGGCAGAAGGTAAGTGTTTTGGCAGGGTCTGTTCAGCTCTATTTCTCTCCTAGGCAGCCATTAAAGAGCTGTTGCAGTTAGGCCTCAGCATGTGCTTGGCTGAGGGTCTTGAAGTAACCTGGACTTAAAGAAACTTGCTAGAGGATACTAAATTAGGAAGCTTGGCAGGAGAAGGGCCCCTTTCACTGACGAGTGTCACAAGGGAGCTGGTTATGTGTAAGACCTTTCACCTAGAGGTCCAAGTGTGCTTGTGTTTTGAGGGTTAGATGCCAGAGGTTGCTAAAAGGACTGTGGCCGCTCTTACAGAGTCACAGACTAGCTGGATGTCCCCTCTACCTCCAGCAATACTTAGAGCTGCTATTGAAGGGCTTTGCTTAAGAAACTCTCCAGTCCTCTTATAATTGTGTTTTGGAGTATCCAGTACCCTTATCCCTCTACCTGCTTGTGTTTAAGTACTGCAATCTACCTTCAAAAAGACACCCTTAGATTGAGCCTGTGTTTTGTCGGTGTGCTCTGATATTGGTATCTGGGCCTAGAAGCCATTGAACTGGTAAGGGAGACCCAGTATCAATTATTTGAAAAGACCTTGCGAGCCAAGTAATAAAATTCCTATTGTTGGATCGCAAACTTCTAGCACATAACTACCAATGTGAAAAAGCGTGAAATAAAAATGTAGTATTGCGCTCACAACCTTCCAATCTATATATATAGACAAATAAAAATGTGTATATGATATACATAAATAACTGAATAAGTGAATCTGTAGAAATCAACTCACATAAGCAAAATATAAAACAGTGAAAAAAAAAAAAAAAAAAAAAAAAAAAACTAAAAGAAAATAATATAATAATATTGTATAATAATAATGTCCACACAAAAAATAAGTGACTTTGTGCTGAAAAATCTTCAATATCTTTTAAATGGGTGACTGCTTGTGCCTCCTCCCTCAAGTGAAGATGTGCGCTCACCTCATAGATAGCCTGCAATTAGGCTATTAAAGCTTGCGGTTCACCTCCTTGGAACCTACTTGTTTAGGAATTGATGTTGATAAGATAACCATGAAATGCGACATGTGCTGTAGAAAAGTATCCTCTCACTGGGTGCTACTCCACTGTCTTCTTATTTCCATGCGATCTTCCTCCTCTGCACCTGCACCGCCTTGTACACGTCCTCCTTCTCGTGTACAAGGCGGTGCAGGTGCAGAGGAGGAAGATCGCATGGAAATAAGAAGACAGTGGAGTAGCACCCAGTGAGAGGATACTTTTCTACAGCACATGTCGCATTTCATGGTTATCTTATCAACATCAATTCCTAAACAAGTAGGTTCCAAGGAGGTGAACCGCAAGCTTTAATAGCCTAATTGCAGGCTATCTATGAGGTGAGCGCACATCTTCACTTGAGGGAGGAGGCACAAGCAGTCACCCATTTAAAAGATATTGAAGATTTTTCAGCACAAAGTCACTTATTTTTTGTGGGACATTATTATTATACAATATTATTATATTATTTTCTTTTAGTTTTTTTTTTTTTTTTCACTGTTTTATATTTTGCTTATGTGAGTTGATTTCTACAGATTCACTTATTCAGTTATTTATGTATATCATATACACATTTTTATTTGTCTATATATATAGATTGGAAGGTTGTGAGCGCAATACTACATTTTTATTTCAAGGGAGACCCAGTAATATTTCCAGCGGCCCCTTCAGGGATAAGTGCTACATACATAACTATGAAAAATACTGTATATGAATTTTTCAAATTCAAGAAGCTAGCAAGTGGAGCTTAAGATCTATGGCTCTTTACCTCTATGCTGCAAGGAGACAGCTCTCTTGACATTCAGGTTTGCTGTACAATACACATGCTAAATCAGAGACATAACACCATGCTTGCCTTTAGTTTATGGAGTATCAATGAGACAGGGACAGTTTACAAGTGAAAAGCTACTGCTGGTCATCTTATTAGAAAGCTCAGCAGACAGTGTTATTGAAGCACTTGTAGATTTTATGCAAATAATTAAAAAATTACATACTGTAAAGAAGCCGTTCTCAACCAGAGTGCCAAGGCACCCTGGGGTGCCTTGAGCTTTCTTCAGGGGTGCCTTGGCAAAATATCTAAAAACTGCCCAAAATTTGTATACAAGCCAGCGGGTGGAACAAGCCTGCCTTTTAGTTACACAAAGCCACAGGTTTTAATTTTACACCATTAAAACCTTCTAGCCACCAGCATCCTGACAACCAATGACATCATCAGTTGATGAGGATGTCAGCTTCCTGCACAGCATCCTAGTTTAACCCTCCCTTGCCCCTCTCCATCAGTGCTGGGGTCACATTAGTTGAGTGATGGAGAAAAACTGAGGGAGAAAAAAAACATAGGAATACTAGTCATTACCAGTGAGCAGGGGTGGACTGACCATTCGGGCACTTGGGCACTGCCCGAGGGCCCTGGGTCAGTAGGGGGCCCCATGAGATGCCCCTGGTACCTTTTATAGGCTTTTTGGGTGTGCTTTGAGTATGGGCCAGGACACAGGGGCCCCATGATCCCCTATTGCCCAGGGGCCCCATGTGTTGTCAGTCTGCCCCTGCCAGTGAGTGAAAGTGTATTTTCTTTGGAAGAATAAATCACCTCTAATGTTGGGTGTCCTCCGTGTGTGGATGTTGCTGCATTATATAAAACTATTAGAATAGTTTTTTCCCCATTTTAAAATGGAGTGCCTCAAGACCGTCCATAATTTGAAAGGGTGCCTTGGGACTGTGCATAATTTGAAAGCGTGCCTTGACTGAAAAAAGTTTGAGAAACACTGCTGTATAGGATCAGTTTCTAAAATTGCAATTATTCAAAAACCACTAGAAAAGTTGAGCAAAACCATTATATTTTTCTTAACATGGGGCCAGTTTTGCCTGACCATGGATTAGCAAACAGATATTAGCTTGGATCAAAATTCTTTTGTGTGTTAATAAGTATCATGTCCATTCATCCATCCAGCTGCAAAATAAATATTTAAATATTGTAGATAAAATAAAACTATAATTGTAGATATTAAACATACACATAAACACTTTATTTTCTGTTCCATTAGGAATTGGACTGACTATAAACAAGGATTTGGGGATTTCGCTTCAGCGAGGGGAGAATTTTGGCTAGGAAATGATAACTTGCACTTCTTGACATTGCAAGGTACTTTACATTACCATTTACAGACCTATTATTCTGCCACCTATTAATGACTTGAATCCCAGTCTGAATTTAAGGACATAAATCTGATATGCACATTTTCATAGATTATGTAAAGAAAGCAATTTAGTGTACTACTACTACTGATGGTGCTGAACTGTAAGCAAGAACTGTATTTTTTTTTAATTTTTTTGCTAGGGTTAGGAAGTATGAGGATGTTAGAGTTTCATCGTATGTTCTGTGTATTGCTTTGCAAGAATGGGTCGTCTTTTGTGTGGTAGAGGTTTGGGTACTTGATCAGGTGGTGCCATTTTGGAAACATGGGACATCTACCATCTACAGAACGGGAAAACAATTATCAGTGTGACTGCAGAATTCTTATCTACTGACCTTTTCAATCAACTCCAACCACTTAACTTTCTTAACAATACTTCTGATTAGTAAATGATAAGATTCAGGGAAATCACAGCGTGTCTAAAGCCGGCCATAGATGGATAGAATCTCCGCCGGTTCAGCAAGAGAACCAGCCAAGATTCAATCTATCTATGAGAAGGCTGGTTGTACTGAAGTCAATCCATCGATCAACTTCAGTACAACCAGCCTGTTGGATTTTTTTGCATGCGATCACTGCCAACAGCTATAGCCGCTAGCAGTGATCATTTTGTTCTGCCGACAGGGAAGGCTCCCCACAGGCAGAACACAATAGGACTGCAGGAGGTATTCCATCATTTACACTGACTATGTGGATGGGGAAATCAAGTGATTTTCTTTCCTGCAACCTGTGGTTGCAGGAAAGAAAAGTGCATCATCTATGGCTTGCTTTAGACACCCTTTAGAATTTTGACATGCTTCCACATGACAAATGTCAGTGTGGAAGACAGATTCATATTGTAGACAGGTACATGAATCCAGGGCATGCAAAGTATGTGGAAGCACACTAAGATTGGGGCATCCATATGGACACTTTGCCCTCAACTCAGTGTCAAGGTCAGGGGTTAGGCTTGAAGACCAGTAGCTATAACAGTAGAGAGGTTTAAAAAGACCAGCAGGATAAGTATACAAGTAGGTCACCCTGGCAGATGATGCTGGCTCACCTGAGGAGTGGGGTATAAGCACTAACTGGTCTTCAGCTGAGCTCCTGATGGTGGAGATGGGTATTGCTGCATGCTCATGCCAGGTCATGGTCCTCAGGATCGCCTTGCCAGGTGATGAGCAAGCCGGGTCCGGTGACAGATGGAGCAGGTAGGGAGGGATAAAGCAGAAGTGAATTCAGTAAACAAGCCAAAGGTCAGTAACAAGCGCTCGCAGGTTGGGATCAAGCAAACACGTAGTAAAGAAACAAGTCAAAGGTCAGTAACACATGGTTGCAGGTTGAGATCAAGCAGAAGTGTAGTCAAGGAACAGGACAAAGTTCAGTAACAAATGGTTGTGAAGATACGGATGGCAGCATGAGTGAAAGGAGCAAGATATTGGCTGGAAAGGAGCACAATAATCTGGCAAATGGGCAATGCAGAGGCATGGCTTAAAGCAGAACTTTACCCAAAAAGGGAAGTTTTGTCTATTTGCATCCTCCCCCTCTTTAATATTTGTCACTTTTTAGGAGAGTGAGGAGCGGGTACCTGGTTTTGACAGGTATCTACTCCCACTTCTGCTCCAACCGCCTAGGCAATTGGAGTGGAAGTTCAGCCCCTCCTCCTTCCCCTGCAGCCTTCTGGGACACATCACAGGTCCCAGAAACCTGCGGGATCATTCACAAAGCGCAGCATGGCTCACACATGCATAGTGGGAAACTGGCTGTGAAGCCATGATGCTTCAATGCTTGTTTCCCTTAGTTAAGAAGCTGGACCCGAAGCCAGTTAAAGAATCGACTCAGGTGAGAACAGCACTGGATCCCTGGATAGGTAAGTGTCCTTATATTAAAAGTCAGCAGCTAAAGTATTTGTAGCTGCTGACTTTTTATTTTTTTTGGGGGGGGAGACTGGAGATTGGCTTTAAATCAGGAAGTTTATGAGAGGAGCAAAGAGTTTAAGGTTCACCAGAAACAAGACACAAAGCAAGCATGTCCAAATCATCAATTAGGGAGCTGTCTAGCATTTCAGGTGGCATAGAGAGAAAAAAACACAGCCAGACACCACAGAGATTCCTCCTCACCACTGCACTTGTCAGAAAGCACAGCAGCATGGAATTTTGTACCTGAGGGGGCGGAGCCTGATGGGGATTCACAGATATTAGTTCCCCATCAGGTCTGCTTTTGGTTGGTAATTGACAGCAGTCAGTGGCCCGATCTTTGGCCAATATCAGCCTGCTGTTGGCTATAGAATCTGCCCACTGCCTGATGTCAATTACAAGACAAGAGAGGACATGATGGGTAACTAGTGTCTCAGTTTCCCCTTCAGGTTCTGCCAACTGGTTGCTAGCAGGTCGATAGCTGCGAAGCCGACAGCTTCACTAACAACTATTGATGGGAAGGGGGTAATGTAATATGCATAAAGGAAAAGACAGTCTGCCTGTCTCTGTACACCAACTTAGAGTAGGTCTTAATTACCTCCAGCTTCTTTATATACAAACTGGTGGTAAATATGTTTTAATTTGTTGAATTAATAGCACCACTTTGTAAAAGAACTACCAAAGTTACCAAAATAGTTAGTATGGATTTTTTTAATCAGGACAGGCCCTTTTAAAGGGCAATAGCAATAGAAAACTATTGGTAGTGCTTTCTAGAATTCTTTGAATATGTTTTACCACTGGGATGTTGTAGTTTTAATTTTCTTCTTTTTTTTTTTTTTGTTAAAATAAAACATGTTTTACTGTATGTTAAACTAGGAGGGACACAAATAGGCCCTCTGCTAGTTCACTTTATAAATTAAACCACAATTATATTTAGGACAAAAAAAGCCATAAAACTATCATACAAATTTAAATACCAGCAGTTGACTAGTAAAATTCTGGTTTATGCAGCTGGTGATGAGATTTATGTCCAACTGGTAGAGAGGTCCAGTATATTTAGGAGGAACAATACTATAACTTTTTATAAAATTACACCAATTTTTAATTTAAAAAAGATTGCGGCTCAATTAAATAACAGAGGCTGGCTACATTTTTCATGGGTCATTTAGTTTTCAACTGGTTGGATCCACATCTCTCATAAATACTGAAGTAAATATGAAATGTATTTGACAATGGGTAGCAAAGTAAAAAACAATTGGTAGCAAAGTAAAAAATATCTGAAATCAAAACTCTAAATTAGCATTTTACACACCTCAAAAACTTGCGTAAAGCAATCAAAATGTCAGCAAAATGGATAAATGATATGATTTTAATAAATTTAGGATGCCCTATAGGTGTGAGCTTTTATGGTAATATTATACATCCCATATTTGTCTGCACATGAGCTTGCTGTCTGAAATAACTATATCATTAACATCACACCCTCCAGTTATAATACTCATGAAAAATGAAAGAAATTATTCATACAGATAACAATACTTCATTTTCACATATCTTGTGGGCCTGTCCGAGCATGTCCTAGTGTTGTTGTGCATTTAGAATGTATTTTTACCAGACCAAGAGTGTAACATATTTTTATTGTGTTTTTTTTCGTAACCAGATGACTACATATTAAGAATTGACCTCCAGGATTTTGAAGGACAAAGACGAACTGCTGACTACAAAAGTTTCAGAGTTAGTGATGAAGAGGTAATGGAAGGATTGGGAAAACTTAAAATGTATCTACACCTTTGGTGCAGTTACACTTGTATTGTAGTTCTTCCAGTCACTCCCATAAGTCTTTATACTCACCTGTTCCCAGTCCACTCAGCCATGACTAAATCTTCCTGACCAGTCCATCTCATGTACCTTGCACTTTCATAGATACCTATAGATCAGGGATCCACAAACTTTTTCCTTGTTCAAATATTTTTTGGTAGGCTAACAAGATTGCTGGCAGTCAGGCATAACAGGAAATAACATCCACAGAAGATAAGGTGGTAGCTAATGAACAATCTCAAAACATGGGGCCACAGCTCCAAATGGAAATGGAAGGGGTAATATAAAATGGAAGAATAGAACAACATCTGTATTCTGAGTGAGATAGAGGGGTATAAATGGATCAATACATTTAGCTGTAGTTTCTCGGGGTGTTCGCTCCCACTGAGTGTGGTAGAAATATATAAGGAGGCTGGTGGCATGGGAGGGAAAACTCAGGTCTGCAAACTTTCCAAACAGTTTAGTGTTTTTCATACTTAAGGGGGGGCCAGACTGTGGCCAGTGGGAGTAGAAAATGCATCAGCATCAATGAGAGTACACAATGTCCCAGGATTGGTGATTAATGGGAGTAAAAAAAAATTATAAAGCGCCTGTGATCAGGAATCAGGAGGAGGAATAGTGCCCCATCATTCATGTCAGTTGGAGATTTGGTGCCCCATTGTTGGTATCAGTGGCGGACTGACAACTCATGGGGCCACCGGGCAATAGGGGATCATGGGGCCCCTATTTCCTTGCCCAAACTCAAAAAAGCCTATGAAAAAGGTACCAGGGGCATCTCATGGGGCCCCCTACTGACCCCGGGCCCTCGAGCAGTGCCCGAGTTTCCAAATGGTCAGTCCACCCCTGGTTGGTATCTGTGGAAGAAATAGTGCTTCCTTGTTGGTGTCAATGGAAAGGAGTAGTGCCCCACCGTTGGTGTCAGTGGAAGAAATAGTGCCCCCTTGTTGGTGTCAATTGAAGGAATAGTGCCCCATTGTTGATGTCAGTGGAAGGAATAATGCCTCAAGGGTTGGATAAAAGCAAACAAAGATTCACATCTGGCCCCAGGACTGCAGGAGACAACTGCCTTAGAACATCACCTACTGGGTATAGTGCCACCTGCAGGAGTAGGACATTAGGTACAACTAAAAAAACAAAAGACAGTGCAGAAGTAGCCCAAAACAAGACTGGAGTCATATCTGGGAACCACAGCCTCTGCTCTATAAATTCGATGGTCTGGTCATTGAACATTGAGACCAATTATAAGGTGTTAATGCAAGTGCACATGTTGTCCTACAGGCTGACCAAATTTATTCCTGGGGCCTCTGCTTGCTATTTCTGGGGATGCACTGCCATGGGCACATTCCTCCATGTCTGGTGGGACTGGACTGCCCTAAAATTAGATGCTATTGCATAGGTGTCTACCCAATGATATTTATATGATTTTTGGAAAAATATCTGGAAAAAATTCATGGAATTTTCTGTTAATTCTAAAACCAGAGGGATGTTCTAGCTCCAAACTTGTACATTTTGTCTTTATGGCTGCTAACCAAAAGCTTGGAAATTTACTATCTCAATACAACAATCTCAAAGGTACAATAAGTTATGTAAAGATATCTCGGAAGCTAATGAGAAACGTTTTGCGATACCACTTGACTCAATGCATACATTCCAAAGGGTCTGTACACTATGAATAATGCATTACATATCTCCAGACTTTGACCAAAATATTTCTCACTAGATGAAGAGCTCTGGGGTTTGTGTTTGGAAAGACTTTACCACCCCAGGCTTCCTCCCCCTCCTCCTTCCCACTTCCCTTTTTTTCCCTTTCCTTCTACCCCCTTCCCTCTTTCTCTCCTCCTTTCCAACTATCTTCTTGTCCCCATTCTCTTGTTAGTTTTTATCTTCCTCACTCTCTGCACCTTTATCATTAATTTCTTTGTTGTCTCTCCTTATTTAGATCTATGCTGGCACCATGCTGGCAAGCAAAGGGCCACATGTGCAGTTGGAGACGTGATAGATTGCTAGTCCAAAACAGGGCTTGCCAAATCTGCTTTGAATCTAGGAGCCAGCTAAAAAAGTTAGGAGCCAGTTTTTTTAAATTGGCTGCCTGTTCCCAGAACTGCATGTATGGGGCATCGGGCAATAGGAATTGCTCATATCTGGATTTGGCAGAGGAGTTCTATTCTCCTCTCTACTGCTGAGACAAGGTGGGAGCAGAGACAAGGGGGTACCTGCAGGTGAGGTACAAGGGCCACATAAAATGGCTTGGAGGGCCGGATTCTCTTGTGTTTGACACCTGTGCCGTAGAGAATCTGTGGGGTATTATCAAGAGGAAGATGAGAGACACCAGACCCAACAATGCAGATGAGCTGAAGGTCGCTATCAAAGCAACCTGGGCTTCCATAACACCTCAGCAGTGTCGCAGGCTGATTGCCTCCACGCCACACCGCATTGATGCAGTAATTTATGCAAAAGGAGTCCCGACCAATTGTTGAGTGCATACTATACTGTACATGGACAATACTTTTTAGCAAGCCAACATTTCTTTATTAAAAATCGTTTTTTATTGGTCTTATGTAATATTCTAATTTTCTGAGATACTGAATTTTGGGTTTTCACTAGCTGTAAGCCATAATTGTCACAATTAAAAGAAAGAAATGCCTGAACTATATCACTCTGTGTGCAATGAATCTATATAATATACGAGTTTCACTTTTTGAATTGAATTACTGAAATAAAAAATTTATGATATTATAATTTATTGAGATGCACCTGTATGTGCTCCTTTTATTCTTTGTAATAACCATAAAAGAGCCTTTGTCTTACTGGATTTAGTTGCAAATGTCCAGAGAAGGATATAAAAAAAATAAGGAATAAGTTCTTACAATATGTACATTTTTAGGCTTTATTCTACCCCCTCTAATGTTGTTGCACTAAGCACAGGCCTAAAAAAGTGGAATTATAGTGAATACAACCATGTAGTGAAACATGATCTATAAATAGAGGTCTGCATATGTCTTTCTGTCATAAAGAATCATTAAGGGGCACTACTGTTCTCAGCACACAATATAGCGTCAATGTATCATTTTCATGTACAAAGTCAATACATAGACACTTTTGGTCTGAGAGGGTTGCCTTCAAAGATGACCATAAGAAGTCTTAGTTTAGACCCCCAAGTTATTATTATTATACAGGATTTATGTAGCGCCAACAGTGCTTTACAAAATGAAGGTAGACATTACAGTTACAATACAATTTGGTACAAGAGGAAATAGAGGGCCCTGCTCTTTAGAGCTTACAATCTAGGAGGAAAGTTCTATATTGCTTTAAAAAACAAATTGAAAATAAACAAGTAGGTAAAAAAAAAATTTACCCACATACATTTTCAATTTTATAATGTGCATCAGATATTTAACTATAACATCCTTCATTGTTTTCAGAGCGGTTACCAGATTAGTTGTGGAGTGTATTCAGGTACAGCTGGAGACTCTCTCACTGGAGGATTTAACCCAGAAGTACAATGGTGGGCCAACCATAATGGGATGAAATTCAGCACTTGGGATCGAGACAATGACAACTATGAGGAGAACTGTGCTGAGCAGGATAAAGGTGGATGGTGGTATAACAGGTAACATTTGGATAGGAAAGATAATATACTGTTAAGTTCCCTGTATTATTCTTTTTCAAATACAGTATTTCCAACATTTGAATGTAACATTATTGTGGCCTTACCACATCTAGCTGTCATCTGTAAACCTGCCATTCCCAATTCAGAGTAACTTCAAAGAGTACATATACTGTGTCTTTTGAGTTGTACATGATAACTCAGCCACTTGATTGATGTGACATTGCAGCATGAGCTTATTAGCCAAATATGTTGGTAAAAGCAAGCAGTTCTTTTATTTAAAGAAAGACAGGCAAACTCTCCCTCACAGATTGGTGCTGTTTCCTCTTCCTTTTCTGGACTCAGATGAACACAGGTTAATTCAGGACCAAAGTCTTTGTAGTCAGGGTTGAAGGTTCTGTCGCACCCAAATATCTCCCCAAACTTCCAAATTCTGGGTCCCAAAATGAAGATTTATTAATCCAGAGAGCACTGAAAGTCAGTCCTCTCTTTTCTATCTGGACTACCCTGGAAACCGCTCACCCTGCATGGATGAGAACCACTGAGTACTAAAAATGTCTCTCCAGCAGCCCTGTAATAGGACCACAACCCAAATTGTGGGGAAATATATCTGCCATCCAGGACCCATCCCCAGTGTACACTACACAGACTCTCCCACCTGCCTGCCCTTCTCATTATCATGCAGATATCTTATTGTCCTGGAGCCATGTTATCTATCCAAAACACTGCCCACTCCAAAACTGCAACTGGAGATACAGCAGATTATTTCAGTTTGCTCTACAGCTAGTGACAGCTAGCCCTCATTATGCCAATGAAATTATAATACTGTTGTCCTTTCAGATAGAGAACCTTCAATCATCAATATCAGCCAACTGGAAATAAAAGTTCCACATTTTGCTCTTTTTATCTGCTAGAAGTGTATCTATATCCAACTTAAACAAAGTTGGTATAAATATCTAGCACATTTCTCAAATAAATAAATAGGAATCTCAGTAAAGCCTTCTACTTTAATTAGTTCCAGACTTTAGTTGTGCTACACACACCCAAAAAAGATCATCATTGTACACAGGGCATGTGTAGCAAGCCTAGTTATTCTGCCCTCCCCCTCCAGTGCACAGCAATTCTGATTAATCAAAGCCACATTGATGTGTGTACAATACACAGTAAAGGTTGGCAGCTTTAGCTGTCAAAAAAAGCAGTCTGACAGTGTTTATAAATAACACTTACTTAGAAGCTACAGAAAGATACAATTGAACATATAGTTACTTTTGTATCATCCTGTTTATTCATCTGCAGATGAAAGGGATAAACGTTGATCTGCAGATGAGGTCAGTTAAAGCAACCTAACAATTTTATAAATAAAATGTTTCTCTGTTTAACCCCTTATTAACCCTTAGTCTACTCTAACCAGCCCTTATTATTTTCTTATTCTCATGCACCCAGATATTATTTTCCTTCTGATTTAGTTTTTTTTTCATTACTATTTTATTAACCACTTCAGCCATCGCTAAGTTGAAGTGGTATTACTGGGATGATACAAAAATTGGTCACTGCCCCAGTCTATAACTGGCCTTCACAGCAAGGAACACATGGACGGGAGACGCATGTCAAACAACAAAAGAGAAAAGTTCCCAGCTCAACTTGCCAGTCAGCCTGCAAACAAACCGAATTAACCTGTCTAACAGTATGTGTTAAAAACAGGGGTTTAGTTAGCACACATTTGCCAATACGTATGTAAGCTACAGAGCCACATCATGGCACCCCAATATTCTGTAGTCCTAACTCTACATATTTTGAGAGCCCCATAGTAGAGGCACATGTATTTAATGGATAGACCAAGGGCAGGTGGACCTGAGAGAGCCCACCCCTCCTTAAAGGGACAGGAGCTCACTGGACACCCAGCATGAAGCACAATTGTAGCTAGGGTGTCCAGTGCTCCCCCTCACCAACGATTCAAAAGTACAAAAAATGGCCGCCGCCCCAGTCTATAACTCAGTAAAATAGGCCGAACTCAGTAAAATAGGCCGAAATTGCACTGGATTGCACAAGAAGTAGTGTATGCAATACTTTGGAAAATTGCGCAGTACCACATTGCATGGCACCGTGGTACCATGTGATTTGACAATTACAGTATATAAACTATTGCATAGTCTTTGCATAGGTGATTTGATACAGCAGGTGCAACACCTCTTAGAATTTGTCTTACAGCATTGTTCAATTGGACCATGGAAAATGTGACAATATTTACAGCATGCAATTTATTTTTAGCCCCCCCCTCTCCAATGCAGCAATTTCATTACATTGTAATTAGCTGCAGATTTTACATGTAGATAGTAGCTATTTCCTAAGATGTTGCCTGAGAGTCCATTCACATTTGTGCAACTTGCCATGAGACTTTGAACAAGTCGCACCCCATGTTTCCCAATGAGTACCATTCAAATCTGTGCGACTTGCAGTGACGTGAAAGTAGTTTCTGCACTAGTTTGATATTACTTTTGATGTGACTTTAGTCGTAATGAATATGAATGTAAAGCTAGATCAAAGTTGCACCACAAGTCACATTCCAAAGTTGCACTGGAAATCACGTGACTTTGGAGACGCTCTAATGTGAATGGAGCCTAAGGCAGGAACTATAGCTGGTGATTGTTTCTGACTTTAGCAGCCCCTGTTCTCTTTAGGAAAGCAGGCCTACTGGTACTTGGTTGCCCCCATTTATATACAATGCTGTTGCACCTGGCAAGACGGTACCAGGATCAAATTAAAGTTGTAAGATACGGTATCTGTAATCCTGAGGTTGGTAAGAGCAGGTCAGGGGCGGACTGACAACTCATGGGGCCCCCGGGCAATAGGGGATCATGGGGCCCCTGTGTCCTTGCCCAAACTCAAAAAAGCCTATGAAAAAGGTACCAGGGGCATCTGATGGGGCCCCCTACTGACTCAGGCCCTCGGGCAGTGCCCGAGTTTCCAAATGGTCAGTCTGCCCCTGGAGCAGGTGTAATCCTGTTAACAATTCCAAGGTCATGTCAGGCAGCAATCCAAAAGAGTGGTACAAGACAAGGGTCAGCAAGGAGTAGTCTACCAATAAGTAGCCCAGGAGGCAGGGAACAAGGGGTAGGGAGCTAGGTAGCCGACCTGGGCTTGTGATGCTTAAAGTAATTGTGAACCAGGGGCGGACTGACCATTTGGAAACTTGGGCACTGCCCGAGGGCCCGGGGTCAGTAGGGGGCCCCCATGATATGCCCCTGGTACCTTTTTCATAGGCTTTTTTGAGTTTAGGCAAGGACACAGGGGCCCCATGATCCCCTATTGCCCGGGGGCCCCATGAGTTGTCAGTCCACTCTGTTGTGAACCCTCACCTTTTAAAACAACTCATTTAGTTTAAAATAGAAATGAAAGGCAAACACACATTAGGAGAGCAGGCTGAATTGAACACACTGTGCTCTCCTGTCTAGTGTGGTCAGTTTTTAATAGGAAAGCAGAGGGACTGGCAGGACCACCAGGGATTTCACACAAAGGAAGTAATACAAAAAGAAGAGGATACTTATTCATACAAGTACATGGTACAGCAGGCACATATCAGGAATGTGAAATGTTAGGTTTACATGTGAAATGTTAGTTTTTAAATAAATTACCAGGAACACAGCCATCCAGGGGCAGGAATCAGAATCAACTCCTGATGTACACCTAATTAACCTTAATCATTTTTTTCTTCTCTCCTAATTTTTCAATGAAGTATTTATTTTTTGTGTGTTTTTTTTCTCATTTTCATTTCTTAATTCTTTTTTTTTTTTTGCATGTTTATATAAATAAAAAATGTAATTACAAAAGATGGTAAATGCCTTTGCCATGTTTTGCACCACAAAGATAATTTTCGTGTAACAAAAAAAGAGACAAAAGAGTAAAATACAATTTGTTCTTTGTATCTACAGTAATCCTAATTGTTTAAAACCTTAATTTACTGAAATTCAGTAGATTTGCTTATTAACATTGCATAATTATTACAAATATTTTGTAGCTATTTTGTTAGTGAACATTTTATACTTCACATTCAGATGCATGAGTAACCATTCTTAATAATAAAATACTGGATTTAACATTATAGAAATGATCACTTAGTCTATGCTAAATCTTTTTCATATTTCCACCAGGTGTCACTCTGCTAATCTGAATGGTCTGTACTACAAAGGACCTTACACATCCAGAACAGATGATGGGATTGTTTGGTACACATGGCATGGATGGTGGTATTCTTTAAAATATGTTGCCATGAAGATAAGATCTGCAAACTTTGAACCAAATGTTGTCTGAGTTCTTTTTTTAACCCTAACATTTCCAGAGGTCTATTTAGTAACACACTTGTAATACATTTGGGGTGATACTCTGTATTATGCTGTATGAAGCATATGGTTACTCTTAGAGATCTCTAGCTTCATCTGTTAAATAAACAGAAATGAGGAATTATATATCAACCAACAGCTTCTCTCCTTTCCTATAAGCCCTCTTGTAAGTATAGACTAGATACCACAACTGTGGATCATTCAACTGCACATGTTCTTAGGCCAGTTCACACTACAAAAACGCACTCCAGATGCATTTTTGCTTACAGTTCACACCACACGCAGTTCTGGTGCAGTTTTGATGCAGTTTGCTATGTTCCGGTATGATTCTGTGCAGAAAAACTGCAGCATGTTCTACTTTTGTTTCTGCACCGGAAACTGACTGGGACTGACTGCACGGGTGTGAACTAGGGCCATTGGAATACATGGAAAACACTGTGCATGCATTTTTGATGCAGAAAAAAATGCACTGGACTGCATCTAGTGTGAACTAGCCCTTAAGGTCTATATATATATATATATATATATATATATATATATATAGATAGAGAGAGAGAGAGAGAGAGTATATACATTATGCATTTAGTGTATATACTATATATATATATTGTTATGAAAGTGGATAAAAGTATTTAAAGAAATACTAAAATATACTTTGGTCACCTGTAGTTTTTTTAAATATTAACATATGTTTTATGTACTATTTAATTACACATTAAAAACACTTTATTTTATAAATAAATCTTTATTACCTTTTACACCTGTGACATTCAGTTTGCAATACTGAGCATTTTAATAAGAAAGTCTACCATTGCTTGTACTTTGTGGCAGCCTCTTTATATTCATTGGTCAGATTCTTATGGTGGGTGGGTAAGTGTATGCTATTAAGATCTGCTTGTAGCACAACAGCTCCTCTCTATGAAACTTCCCATGCCATGGGGACTCTGGTATAGAGCTCCACTTGCTTTCAACCTTTCAACCAGTCATATATATATATATATATAGTGGTATATATAACATGTTTGCATACAATTTTTTTTTACATTTACCTGATTAAAAGTAGGTTTGAAGCTTTTATAAGTGCAGAAAATAATATCTTAGGGAAAAAATATACACATATATATTACTCTTCAATAATTCTTCATGGGAGTGAAGCAAGAGTCAACTCTCTACAAATTTTACTTACACACATAGGTGTCCGTTCATGAACCAGCGGTAATAGATCGCTGCTCAGTTCTCCGGCATTCTCGGAGAACACAGTTCTCCTGTGAATGCAGTTTATGAAGCAGTTCTCCGAACGAAGGGAGAACGGTCTCCAAACGCTGGAGAACGGTCTACAAACTCTGGAAAACGGCTGATTTTACTATAATCTCACGAGATTACAGTAAAAGATCAGTTTACTAAACAGAGGTAAATTATCTCTGCTTAGTTTGCGGTCCCTCTGATTCTCCAGCTCTGGGCTGGAGAATCTGGAAGGAGAACACAGATCTCCAGTGAAGGGCTGACATGATCTCCTGAGTGTCATAAACTGTGAATGACCAGAGAATAGCTGAGATCCGTTGAATCGCAGCTATTCTCTGTGTAATAAACGGACACCTATGCCCACTTAAAATACCCATATTTCTTCCATCTACTAATGCTGAAAAGGCATTTGCCTGTGTAGATTGCTCTTTGTGTTTATGACTTTCCTATGTATGGGCCTGAGATCTAACATGCTGTCTAATATAATGGCCTTATATAAACAACTACTGATCTTTGTAATGGCACCAGGCAGAATTTGCTTTTTTATATCTCACTGGAGCCTTTGTTGGCCACATTATGCCGTAACAACAACATTAGAAGAGACTACAATCAGGGCAAACTGTTTATAAGCTGCCAGCGTTTATTGACAATGTCCTATTATATCTACATGCCCAAAACCAAGACATATTTCTATTAGTACTAACATATCATAGAGCAATTATAAGCTCCTTGGGACTCAGTCTGTCTAAGTAGATGGGACTTCCAGACCTTGCCATTGTGCCTAAGGTGCGGACTTCCCCTTGTACCATTTCTCATATTTGATGGGTGTTTTCATTACTAAATCCTTTTGGTGACAAATTGTAAATTTAATAGCAAAGATCAATACAGTGACTATTTCACATGACCCATTGGTACTATTATTCCATGATACACCCATGTCCAATCCCAAATATGAGAAATCAGTGACTCCCACCCTCTTAAATGCAGCCAAGAGTCTGATCCCAAAATACTGGAAGACTTATAGATCACTAGTATCTAAACAGATACTGCAAGTAGGTAAAATATACTTAATGGAAAAGACTGCTGTCCTAAAAACACTGATTATGAAACTTGCTATAATACTTGGGTGAGCTGGTAACATTTTAAAAACTCTGATTGTGGTGGATCACTATTGAAGACAGCCTCACATCTCATTTTACAGTAACAAATATTCAATCAAAATTCTGATTGTGATGGATCATTATTGAAGACAGTCTCATTTTACAGTAAAATGTGTTCAATCACATACCCAGAGAGATAAATAAAAATCACCCCACCCTACAAGATCCACAATCAAAACTAGTGACCCAGGTGCTTAAGCAGAGATATTTTCCTTTCCCACAGTCCTTATGTCCACTTTGTCTTCATGCCATATATATATTTCTTGTTTAAATATTTTGTTTTTCCCATGCAATGTATGCAAGAGCTGTAAAAAAAAAAACAACTACTATTGTGAAACTGCTTTGCTTTTTTATATAATTTCTATTCCATGTATCCATAAAAAGGTAATAAAACTTTATTATGAAAACAATAAAAGGTAATAAAAAAGAAAAAACAATGGTGATAAAATGGTGATAAATACGTATACAACCAAAACTGTCAACTTAAAATTAAGTTTTTGTCAAAAATTATTTAGCACCTTAAAAAAATTAGAGCTCATGAAAAAAATATCAAAATCATTATTTAAAGGTTGTAATACATTTATAACATGTGGATTATTCCAAGCGGGCAAATGCAGACCATCTGAATCCACATGTTTGGATGATTAAAGTCAGCAGATCTTCCCTCATCTACTAAGATCTGTGCAACAGCACTTCCATAGTGCACAGTCTTTTCGCCATTAGTAAATTCATCCCTATGTCTAAGCCTACCTTAAAGAAGAACTTCATTAAAATAGTCAGAGACTGCCTAATAATTTGCAACTGTGTGCAGGGTCAGAGGTATGAAATGCACAGGTACAAGTGATATGTTACACAAAGGGGTCAGGGGTGTGTAAAACACAGAATGGGTCAGGAGTATATGATTAGTATGTGTTGTAGAGAGTGCAAGGGTCAGGGTTATGTAACTGTGAGTGATGAATGGTGTGTAATGGTGTGCAGAGGTCAGGGGTGTGTAACACACTGAGTGCAGGGGTCAGTGGGGTACAACATTCCTGCATGCATGGACACTTCTCCCTTTGAAAGCCAAAATTCCCTTCTTCTGGTACAATTATTCTCCCCTCTGCTGAAATTCTTACTCCCAGCACAAATCTCCCCTCTGAAATCTCTCCTCTCAGTGCATGTCTTCACTCTCTCCCCAAAAAATTATTCCTTCCAGCAGAAGGCTTTACCCCCCCCCCCCCTAAAAAAAAAAAAATTAAGAGCCAAAGATTATAGTTCTGAAAGCTGTGAATTTTATTTCTCTAACAACAGTGCAGGAGGGCTGCTGCACTGGTGAGCAGTCTCAGTTTTGCAACTCAGAGCACCCGGCAAGAGATGTGGTGCAAGCATCTGATTGCATGCACTGCCTCCTACCTCACCAGTAAATCCATTAAATAAATTGTACCTTTTACTTATGCTGTGCCTCATGATTTTTGGGCCAATGCACAACATTGATCATTGGTAATGGATTATAAACAGTTTACTCCAAATCAAGCATGACCACGTTTTGAGTTTCTGGAAAGGGAACAATCCTGTAGCTGAAAGATTATCCAATACTACAGGTCTGCCTACATTACAACCACCTGGTCAGTCTCAGTGCTGTAAAGACAAAAGGAACAAGAAAGGTGTAATACCAGGTGCCCAGAGAGGGAAGCAGATTGTGCCCCAACGACTTTTGTTAAAGATACCTTAATGCAGAGACAGTAACTTAAATTCTGAGGATCCCATGGAAATTATTCAGGTGGTCCATATGCTCATATAAATGCTATAGAAATCATGAAGCTGGGTAGTCAACTCCTATATACATTAAAGGTGAGATTTATTGAAAAATCATTCTTTTATTGTTGAGATATATGTGTTTTTTCACAGACTTGGAATTACTTCCCTGGTAACTAAAATGAAAAATGGAGAAGATTTTTTTGGCCAGAGATGGAGACACAGAAATGTTTGAGCACATCACTGCTTTATATGTTAGAAAAACTTGTGTTTCTGTCAGTGCTTTGTTTAACTGCTTAAGGACTGCCCTATAGCAGATATACTGCTACAGGGAGGCACCTGTGCACAAAATCACATATAAATAAATGTACAAATTTACAAACAATTTTCTTCCTTGTTAACTTGAGCACACTGCTCGGGATGGCTACGCACAGTACAGCCATCCCGATCAGTGTGCTTACAGTGAAGAACACCCCACCCCCTAGTAAAACACACACAACACAGTTAACCCTTTGATCGCCCCTCACATTAACCCCTTCCTACCCAGTTCCATTAGTACAGTGTCAGTGCTTATATTTAGCACTGATCACTGTATTGGTGTCACTGGATATGTCAGTGACACCAAGTTAGTTCCCCCCCCAGTGTCCACCGTAGTCCCACTAAAAGTCACTGATCGCCACCATTACTAGTAGAAAAGAAAATCCCATTATCTTTACCGCCATTTGTAAACGCTATAACTTTCACATAAACCAATTAATTTACATGTATTGGGATTTTTTTTAGCAAAGACATGTAGACGAATACATTTTGGGCTACATTTATGATGAAATTTGAT